TCTATACACGTGGCATTTGGGTGGATGCAGATATGGTATTATGTCTAACAAAACACTCCTGCCAATCCAAGTAACGAAATTAAGAAAACAAAAAGAAAGTTAGATTTTTGGACACCTTAGAACCGAAAGAAAAGGAAAATAAAACGTCTCGGTTACGGATGTAACCCTCGTTCCCTGAGTAGGGAACGGAGATGTTACGTCGGATGACGGAGAACGGGGGTTTCACATAGAAAGCCAATCCTCTTCGAGTATTTAATAACGAGCCAATGGCATGAAAATGCCTTGGGGCTGCGGAATTTGCATAGCGTAACTCCGCCCCACCCCGTGGGTATAAAAGGAGGAAGTGAACGCAACCGCAGTATGTTTTCACTGAGGAGCCAAGACTGAACTCGGCGTCTACCCAGCGGTACAGTAGAAGTGGCAAGGAGACGTAACGTCTCCGTTCCCTACTCAGGAAACGAGGGTTACATCCGTAACCGAGACGTTCCCTTTCGTAGTCACTCCGAGTTACGTCGGATGACGGAGAACGGGGGTCTGTGCCATCACGCCATCTTCAAAGCTGTCTTCCAGTGCCCTGCGAAAGTCTGGACTCCTGCACTTAGCTTATAACCAGGAGTACGTACTTTGACACAGGAATACCAAGGTACACTGGGAAACATATCCCGGGAGGATGCCTACCGTAGGGAGGACTTACGAATACACCTATGGCCATGTTAGGGACTACATATGGAGATCACTGGAGCACCAACCTAAGGGTGGCTAAAAACTTAACTCCAGGAGTGGCAGATGGCTTGCCGATGGAAGACACATGCTCAGAGAGGCTTACAGTGAATAATACACATGAGACAGTTACCATAGGGAACCGTGCACACGGAGGCACCTAGCCGGCACCAGAACAAGAGCAGTGGTGTCCGCATCAGAAGTGCTGGAGGACTCAAGGCTTCAACGGAAGACTACTGAGGAAATATCGCACTTATCCAGTCCGAGGAGTGGAATGGCGAGCAAGCAAAGACACCTAAGCGGGTCCAGTACTGGCGGAAGCGAGTACGTGAGAGGACACCGGCTCTATTAGCAGATTATAGAATCTTGCGAAGGTGTTTGGTGTCTCCCAGCCTGCAGCTCTGCAAATGTCTGTTAGCGAGGCGCCATGCGCTAAAGCCCAAGAGGAAGCCATACTCCGAGTGGAGTGGGCCGTCACACCAAGGCGGCACGGTCGACCTTGCTGTTGGTAAGCCAAAGCGATGGCGTCCACTATCCAGTGAGACAGCCGTTGCTTTGAGAGAGCCCTTCCCTTCTGGCTCCCCCCATAACAGACAAAGAGCTAGTCTGAGGTCCTGAAACACCACGTTCTGTTAACGTAGGCATGGAGCGCACGTACCGGACAGAGCAGTGCCAGGGCTGGGTCTGCCTCCTCCAGGGGCAGCGCTTGCAGGTTCACCACCTGGTCCTGGAAGGGAGTGGTAGGAACCTTGGGCACATATCCAGGCCGGGGTCTCAAGATCACGTGAGAGTAAGCCGGCCCGAACTCCAGGCATGCTTCGTCAATGGAGAATGCGTGCAGGTCCCCTACCCTCTTGATGGAGGCCAATGCAACCAGAAGTGCTGTCTTCATGGACAGAAACTTTAACTCTACCGATTGCAAAGGCTCAAAGGGAGGCCTCTGCAGAGCACTTAGAACTACTGAGAGGTCCCAAGAGGGCACGAGGGGAGGATGAAGCGGATTTAGCCTCCTCGCTCCCCTCAGGAACCTGATGACCAGGTCGTGCTTTCTGACGGACTTACCTTCTACTGCATCATGGGACGCGGCAAACCTGTTCTCGAGAGTGTGCTAGGATCAGCCAATCATTGAGATAGTTCAGGATGCTCACCCCGTGTTCGCGAAGGGGAACAAGGGCTGCCTCGACGATCTTCGTGAAGACGCGAGGTGACAGAGCTAACCCGAATGGGAGAACCGTGTACTGATATGCCTGGCCCTCGAAAGCAAACCGCAGAAACGGTCTGTGTCGAGGCAAAATGGAGACATGAAAGTACGCGTCCTTCAGGTCTATCGCTGCAAACCAATCCTGGGGCTGGACGCATTCGAAAATGCGTTTGGCTGTGAGCATTTTGAACGGCAATCAATGAAGAGTACGGTTCAAAACGCGCAGATCCAGGATCGGTCGTAACCCACCGGTCTTCTTGGGGACAATGAAGTGTAGGGGCTGTAAAACCCTGACCTCATCTCGGCTGGAGGGACCGTCTCGATTGCACCCTTCGCCAGCAGGTTTGCAATTTCCGCTCTCATGACCGGGGCATTGCCACCGATCACCGTGAAGCGAACTCCCCTGAAACGGGGAGGAGACCGTGCAAACTGAATCGCGGAGCCGAGTCTGATCGTTCTGATGACCCAGCGGGACAGGCCGGGGAGCTCTAGCCAAGCTCCCAGGAACTGAACCAGCGGGGTCATGCGAACCACAGACGTCCCCCCGGAGGGGCAGCGAGGCGGGGAGACCGGCATGCGCACAGGGGTTACCCCGTGCGGGTGCACATTCGAGCCCCGTTCCCGGACAGAAGGGACCAGGGAAGGACCAGCGTTCCACGGGGGTCTGTTCTGCCGGGGGTCTGGCGATAGAGGGGGAAGGGAGTGGTGTAGTCGAGGGACGACACATGCTCCCTTCCGCACCCTCAGAGACAGAGAGGAATGAGCGGGGCGACGCACTGGGACGTCGTGCGTGTCATTCGCCTCATTCCTGTCTGTGTGCTCAGTGATGATGTCAAGTCTTTCTTTAACCAACTCAGGGTGCTGCCCACCCGTGGGTGAGCAGCGGGGGAGCTGAGAACAAAAAATTCTCCCCCGGCCCTCCACCGGGGGAAGGAGGGGGCCTCCTACCACCTCCTGTGAAACACTCGACTTCATCACTGAGCAGCTCGTCTCAGGAACGCCGCTTCGCCTGGCGTTTAACGGGGCGCACGGCCTGAGGGGGCTCTGACGCTCTTCTGCAGCCTCCTCCGCGCCGCGACCCGGATGAAGGCTGCTGCTGGGGCCGCGTGGGAGGGTGGGGAGCCGCAGGGGGGCATCCTCGGCGGCGAGCAGGCGGAGGCGTCTGAGCCGACGGCTGGGTGGAGGCAGCAGCTGGCCGTCGGGGCAGGATGTGTTTAATCACCTCCGTCTGCTTCTGGGCAGTCGAGAACTGCTGGGCAAAGTCCTCGACCGCACCGCCAAAGAGGCCAACCTGGGAGAGGGGGGCATCGAGCAGACGAGTCCGCTCGGCATCCCGCGTGTCTGACAGGTTGAGCCACAGATGACGCTCCTGGACCACGCTAGTGGCCATCACCTGAACAAGGGAGTGAGCGGCCACTTTCGTCGCCCGGAGAGCGAGATCGGTGGCAGCTCGCAGCTCGTTAAAAGCCGCTTGGTCAGTCCCCCCCCCCTCGTGCATATCTCTGAGCAGTTTGGCTTGAAAAACCTGCAAAGTGCTCATTGCATGCAGGGCAGAGGCTGCCTGTCGCCGCTCTATAGGATCGCGCCGCCATAGACGACGAGAACCTACAGGCTTTGGATGGGTGCTTGGGAGTACCGTGGGAGGACGCGCTCTGTGGACACAGTTGCATCGCAACAGAGCGCTCCACCGGGGGAATCCCAGCATACCCACGGGCAACCGTGCCGTCGAGGGGAGGAAAGGCGGGGGAAGCTGAAGCGCACTCTCGGGAGGTCAAAGGTGCCTTCCAAGTGCACGTCAGTTTCGCATGCAGCTCGGGGAAAAAAGGAATTGGGGTCGGCTGTGGCTTTGTGGCGGCAGCCTTACCCAAAAACCAATTATCCATCCGCGAGAGATCGGGACAGGGCGGAGGGCTCCACTCTAACCCGATACTCACGGCGGCCCGAGATAGCATGTCCGTCATCTCGGGATCAGACACGGGCAACGCTGGCGCTCCCGAAAGAGGCAACACAGCCGCATCCTCACTTCTCGAGGACTCAAGCCCGCCTTGTGATGCTGCGATCGACATCGCATCATCCTCTGGAGCGCCGAACGAAACAGACGGTACCTGCGAAGAGGCAGACGCCTAAAGCGATTCGGCGCTCGCTGGCTCTAACACTGGGACGGTGGGTGTGGCCCGAGGAGCTAGCGTCGGGGGTTTGTTCCACACAGTCACCGATAAATCAACCTGTCCGCGAATCGAAGAGCTTCTAGAAGAAGAAAAAGCAGAACGAGTAGCGGAGGCGGGGACTCTCACTTTTGTTAGATCATTGAGTCTAGATCGCAGTGTAGAGATGGTCATGTTCCCACAGAAGGAACATGAGTCATCCACGAACGCTGCTGCTGCGTGCTGAATGCCCAGACAAACAAAGCAGCGATCGTGACCATCAGAAGATGACATGAATCGACCGCACCCAGAAGAACACGGGCGAACCATCTTTTAAAAGACGTGCCACGTGCAGCTTTTTCAATGGAGAGGAGGATATTCACTCTTTCAGCGCTGAGGCGTCCAGGGAGAAGCGCAAAGTCTGGCAGATCACTGCTCAGATCGCAGGCAATGCAGAATCTCGCTGGGTACCGCCGTCACACCAACACTGAAGAGGACGCTTGTCTCGAAGAGTTGTACTCAGTGAAAATGGCTTTAGGAGTGAAGAAGTCTCTTGGCTCCTCAGCGAAAACATACTGCGGTTGCGTTCACTTCCTCCTTTTATACCCACGGGGTGGGGCGGAGTTACGCTATGCAAATTCAGCAGCCCCAAGGCATTTTCATGCCATTGGCTCGTTATTAAATACTCGAAGAGGATTGGCTTTCTATGTGAAACCCCCGTTCTCCGTCATCCGACGTAACTCGGAGTGACTACGAAAGGGAACTGGGCATGATACTTGAAGCCAAGGCAATGAGTTTTCAAGGAATGCATGACCTGATAAAATGCAAACTTTAAATGCAAAGCATTGAAATCAATTTGGATACAATGTCAACCATGAAAGTATCAGAATGCAAAACAAAACGTCCCTAGCCTTCATCACTTTTTGTTTTGACAGTGAACTTTCTGAGCTGAGGATTTTTGATCTGAGAGAGAAGATCTATCAATGGCTTTAAAGACAATAAACTTCATCACTTGGAATGTAAATGGACTTAAGCGACAAAGAGATCAGAAATTTCAAGAACTACAAAATGTGGATGTTATTTTATTTCAAGAGACGCACATTGGAGAAGGAGATGAAAATATTGTAGAAGACTTTAAAGATGAGTGGCATATTTTCTACACAAAGTACACCTCCTCCAGCAAGGGATCAGCCATACTAGTGAGAAAAACACTAGATTTCAAATACATAAGTGATGAAAAAGATAACAGTGGAGCTTATGTTGTGTTGAAATGTAAATTGGAAGGTCAGCCGTACACTCTTGTTAGTGTTTATAATCATCAAACAGACACAAAAACCCTTGATAAACTTTCAAGGTACCTGCAGTCAATGACCACAGGGCTGCTGGTGATTGGTGGAGATTTCAACACAGTTCTTAATAGATTTGTTGACAAAAAAATTAACAATTTGACAAACAACAGCTCTCATAGTAAACAGCTGTTATTTGTAGAGAAGTTCATGAAATCTCTTCAACTGGTTGATGTCTGGAGAAGAAAGAACCCCATAAAGCAAGATTATACGTTCTACATTAAAGACTCTCCTGTGTCCAGGCTGGATTACTTCTTTGTTCCAGAAGAATGTATGTGGCGTGTCGGAATTTGTGAAATAAGAGACTCAGGGAAAAGTGAAAACAAAGACCACCGGCCTGTTTCTTTAGAGATCAACATCCCTGCGATGCCTATTCAGAAAGATCCACAGATACAAACAATCTTCCAATGGCTGAATCTAAAAAAGGATCTTTTGACAGATGAGACTGGTTCGTCACTGGGCAAAGAAAGCTCACATGCAGTCAGTGTGGTTGACATTGTGTCAGCTGTACAATCTCTTCAAGTGTCAGACACACCAAGACCAGATGGTACCCCAGCATCCTCCTATAAAGACAAAATTCAGGATCTAATTCCATACATTAAGATGCTCTATGACAGAATCCACAGCGGTGCGTTTAACTGCTCTGAGACACGCTTTAATGAAACTGTGAAGAGTCCACATGATGATAGTCAACACTTTTTTAATGTTGACTACCTCATCATTGCAACTATTCTGGCAAGACGCCTAGATGATGTCATTGAGTCTCTTCCAAAGGGGCGGATCCAAAGAGAGTCAGCTGCTGTCATGATCACTCCCAAAACACATCATGCTTTAATAAGTTTGAGTCATATTAAGGATGAGCTAGAACAGCAAAAACGGTCAAAACCGACTCTGAGCCAGGATCTTCTCCTTATAGAAAATCTCCTCAGTGATGCAAATGTTCTCAATGTTGAGAAATACAAACGGCTACATCAGGGCTGCCCTTTGACCCCAGGACTCCTAATGTTGGCTCTAAAAAGCTATGCCTCACAGTTATTTGGACATTTAGAAAAGTCTGGGGTTTTCATTTTCAAACAAAGTGTGATAGTTTACTTTCAACCTGAGGACCTAGACATGGTCAAAGCTACTGTGGAGAGCAATACTACTGAAGTATATGAAATAGAGATATTATCCAAAGGAAATGATGAACTGCTAAAATGCCTAGAAATTTATGCTAAGGATGAGGACTGGGACAAAGAATCAGAAGAAAACAGCTCTAAAGCAGATGAAATGGATGATGGGAGTAAGGTGTATCAAAAGAGTGAATATGAGTCTAAAATCTCTGAAGAAGATGAATCAATGGAAGTCGATGTGAGGTGAGGATAATGAATAAATGCATGAGCGTTTGGACAAAGAAACCTAAAGTACTCTGAGCACATGGGTTAAAATCCTTCCTAAATTCTGACTTTATACATACAATGCTTTAAACATACTTTGATGAAGATTAGGAGATACTGTCATTTCAAAGTGAATAAGTTATTGTTTTGCTCAGGAACAAAAGCGGTGAGCTGGAGCAGAGAAATGTTCACAACTCGATTATTAAAGAGGCTAATTCATTGCACCTTGAGCCATTTGGTCTATATTAGTTTACATAATTGGGTCTACTATTTTCCTGTTGATCTCTGTGAAGCTGCTTTGACAATCTGTATTGTATAAAACATTATCGAAAAAAGGTGACTTAATTAAATATCTTATGGAAAGCTGTACATTTTTACAATTAATGCTTTTATTTGATTTTTTTAATTTATTTACTAAAATCAGTAGATCAGCCATTTCTGGACCACTCAAAGAAGAGATGGAAACATTTCAAGGGATGAAGAAGAATACCCCTCCACTTCTTCCTGTACCACCACAATCTTCATCTTCCTCTGATGGTGAGCAAAAAAAAAAAATATATATATATAACAAATATAATTATTAGTTGTAATTAGAACTAAATAGTTTAAAAAATGGTTGGTTAGAAAAAACAATAGATCTTTAATAAGAATATATGTTCTACTTTCCATCTATCCCACAATGACTAGCCAAGATATAAAAATTAAATATCATTGTACAGTCTTTTTCATTGAGGGAAAATAATGAGTGGAATGAATTCTCTGATAGGTACTAAAAGAAATCGTGATCATAAATCATCCGTCCTGAGTATACAGTCACCACTGACAACAGGCAAGTAAAACCTGAATCTGTCCACCTCTTACCTACCACTTGTAACTAATCACTTAAATAGTCATACAGGTATCACATTCACTCATCCATCATTCATTAAAACTATTTGTCCTAACTGTGTGTCCAAACTGTGCATCACAGGGATGCTGGAGCCTATACCAGCATCTGGACAGATGGCCAGTCCATCACAGGGATAATTCACACAGACAGACAATTTAGAGTCTCCAATTTACCTGTCCAGCAATTATTTTGATTGTGGGGGAAACCAGAGTGCCCCGAGGAAACCCACACCAACACAGAACAGGGAAACGCCTTGGTTATGACTGTAACCTTGATTCCCTGAAGAGGGAATAAGAATAAGAGTTGATAAAAGCTGTGGGTGTGATTACGTCTTGAAGCACATGTGAAATCAGTCCAATGGTGTGGCAGAACGTCTGAGGCGGTTGACGATATGAACCAGGAAACTATAAAGCCTGCCCTAACAAAGCAGTGCTAGCTTCTGATAGGCTGAAGTAAGTCGCTGACAGGCATGTAGGATTATGGCAGGGCAACGCAACTTCTTGTTCCTTCTTCAGGGAACTGAGGTTATAGTCGATTGACACTGTGGAAAAGTCCATACTAACGTCACCATAGCAAGAAGTGTCTGTCCTGTGTGAAATTGTGAAGAGCAGGACTAGGACGAGAGCACCTGGGTACCTGGTGTAGAGTCCAGGTTCAGAGAGTAGAACCTCCCAAATGTATGTTGCTTGCCACATCACAAATGTTGTGAAGAGAAACATCTTGGGTTATGACTGTAACCCTTGTTCCCTGAGAAAGGAACGGAACGCTGCATCGAGAATCGACACTATGGGGAAATGCCTTCAGCATGATGCGTTTGAAGCCTCTATGTAACTAGTCCAATTTTGATTGGTGTTGCGTGATGATGTCACTCATGACGGCGCATGTGACGGTGAACCGGAAACTATAAAAGGGCACCGGCAGCATAACAGCACCAGCTTTCAATTGGTGGAAGCAAGTCGTCGAAAGAGTGACCGAGGGACACAGCGTTCCTTTCCCTTCTCAGGGAACGAGGGTTACAGTCGTAACCTGAGACGTTCCCTTTCAAGGGAACTTCAGTTGCACAAATGCCCACTGCGCCACTCTGAGGGAACTAGGGTGGAGAATAGCCTTTACTCTGCAAGGAGCGAACTCGAGACAAGAGGGAGCCACCGATAAAGCCTGTAAGTCCCCAACTCTTTTGAGGGACGTGATAGCAAGCAGGAAGGCTACTTTAAAGGACATAAATTTCTCAGACACCTCATTCAATGACTCGAAGGGTGCCAGGGATAACCCTTCGAGGACCACTGTCAGATCCCAAGAGGGAACTCGGGACTGGATGACAGGCCTCAACCTCCTAGTTCCACGAAGGAAACGAACAATTTGTGGGTGTCTACCCAAGATGACCACCCCTAAAGGCGTGTGGAAGGCAGCTATGGCCGCCACATAAACCTTAAGCGTAGATGGGGAGAGCCCGTCAGAGAAGCGACTCGGGAGGAACTCCAGTACTGAAGCCACTGCTGGGTCCAACTGAAGTTCTCTGCACCACATTTTAAAAACATTCCATTAAGTAAATCAAATTTCCTTGTGGAGGTGGCTCTAGAGTTTAAAATGGTCTCCACAACCTCAGTTTAAAGACCAGTATTTAGAAATTTGTCCCCTTCAGGGGCCAGACCCACAGCTTTCACAACTCCGGCTGAGGGTAAAACATGCCCCTAAACATGATGTGGAAGAAAACAAACTGTGATTGGCTGTGTTAAGCCTGTTTTATGCTTCTGGGTCGAATCGACGGCGTACCCCCGCAGACCTCTCTGTGTCGACGCGAACCCCTCTCCGACCCCTCCGCCGTAGCTCGACGTGCACCTCCAAAAATTTGCAACAGCGCGTCGAGGCGACGTAGACAGCAAGGGCTTTGATTGGTCAGATTATACATCATTTCAGGAGTGTAGCTTTTCTGATTTCCCCCTCCCGCTATAGCGCCATTTTTAACATTTGCACCCTCGTACTGATAATTATAATACACTTATAAAGAAAGTAAATAAAGAATTAAACTAAAAATAAACAGTTGTTTTTATTCCATTATTAATATATATCAATATTCTTTTCTTTCTTTTTTGCTCTTCAATCAATCAATAAATCAACGTTTGTTTTGAAACACAGTTTGTTGTTTATTTTCTATACAATGTTCATGGTTACATCATTGATAATACACATACAGTACTAACCTGTAAGTCTGCCACGGTACACTACATTATCCTGCCGTGGCACAGTTCCATGTGGGGACTGAAAAAAGCCTTCAAGTCATTCCGAACAGCTAACGCAGCTCGGGTGGAACAGGCCCTGGACATCCGTGTTGGTTCATGGAGACAAAGTTTGTGTCGTCTTGTTGTTCAACGTCGATTAGCTCCATCTCCGGCTGCAACAACATTCTCTCTCTTTCGTTCGTGGCGCACTGAACAAAAACAAACTAGCAAAGAGATTTGCAAACCACATCCCCCTAGCGTTCTGGCGGAGAAATGCACCACAATGCAACAACCTGACACAGAAGCATAAAACGGCCACAACGCCGTAGTAGTGACGACGTAGCTATGCCGTGGAGTTGACACAGAAGCATAATGAGGCCTTTAGACCTACATATCAGTCAAACATCCTCTTGGACGGTCCTTGGCCAAGAAAAGCTGCGATAGAGTCCAGACCTTCTGCAGTCAGTCTGAAAGTCTAGCTACGCGAAACTACGTTCAGGTGTACTTTATAGTTTCCTGGTCCATGACGTTCCATCATGCCATTGGACTTATTTCATTTGTGCTTCATGATGGAATCACGCAGAGGCGTTTTGACGCAGCTCGGGGTCCCTTGAAAGGGAAAAAAAGTGTGTGCAACCCCACCCGTGATGTAAGGTGGGCAAGGATGAACACACATTCTGAACTGCTGCTTGCTTGCCATTCTTATAATGAAGGTAGACACCAAATATGTCAAATAACCAAATATGCCGCTTACTGAAGAGACACAGGCTCTTTTTTGGGCAGGCTTACTTTGTGACGTCACTCGCCTCTGACGTTTGCCACACCATTGGATTGATTTCACATGTGCTTGAATGTTATCACGCAGAGCGTTCCCACAGCATCACTCGACACAACGCGAGTTTCCTTGAAAAGGAACTTCATATTTAACATTTTGAGTCAAGCACCTCAAAATGCCATTAATGTCATTTGACTGAACAATATATATTTAGAATGGCACACTATGCACGAGTAAAACATGTAAATAATATAATTAAACATCTGTCACTTTTGTTTGTACAGAAATGTTATTAAAGCAGAAACACGGCTCTTTGTCTTCTTTTTTTCCACACAGATGAGATCATGGAGAAGGCAAGGCAAATTATGAAAAAATTTCCCAAAAACTCAGATCAAATAGATAAAGGCAATGTGAAGAAGGCAACCATTGGGATTTTTGGAAAATCAGGAGAAGGGAAGAGCTCCCTATTAAGTGCAATATTGGGGATTGAGTATCTACTGCCATCTGGTTGTTTTGGTGCCTGTACAGCCGTTGTTACTCAGGTGGAAGCCAACCTGACTGACTCCAACTACACAGCAGAGTTTGAACTCTTTTCTAAAGAGGTTTCCTCATTTGTATTCATCTGACTATGCTTTTAATCAGAGTTCTTTATAAATAAATAATTCGACTGTAGGGAATGGATCAATGCCATATTTTTCACTATTTTGTGTTTTGTGTGCCTCTGCAGGAGTGGAACAAAGAGCTTGAAGATCTTTTCAGAGTTTTGTCAGGTGAAAATGAGGACAGGACTGATGACTTGTTTGAAATTGCTAAAGAAAAGATCACTGCGCTGTATGGAGATGATGCAGACAAGAAAACATTAGAAGAGCTCAAGAACGATGACAAACTTGCTGAGATTGAAAGGTTCATTAATAAGGAAAGATGTTTCTCAACAAGTAGTGTAAGTTTTAGGAGACTGTTTTTAACATATTACATGTACCGTATAATGCCTTCTTAATTTGCTTTACAGCCAGGTAAAACAAACTAATTTATTATCTCAAAAGGTATCTGAATTTAAGAATGATGTTGCAAGTTACATACAACACAGCGAGTCAAGTTTCGGTAACTGGTACTGGCCGCTTGTGAAGAGTGTGACGATCAAGATTCCAGATTGTCGTGAACTTCTAGAGCACATTGTGCTTGTTGATATTCCAGGATCTGGAGACTGCAACAGGATTAGAGATGATCTGTGGAAATCTGTAAATATATTAATATGCTCCTTTAAAAATAACAGTTTGCCAGATTAACCACACAATTAATATATTATAACGCTAACAACAAGTCCCCTAACTCGCAGTTATATTTGAAATCCTGTAGAAACTGACAGAGTGCTCTTCTGTGTGGATTGTAAGTGATATTAATCGAGCAACCACTGATAGTGGCCCTTGGGGGATGGTAAAGCACTGCACTGAAGAACTGGGACCAGGAGGAGAATGCAAAAGCATCAACTTCATCTGTACAAAGACTGATGTGATCGATCCAGTAGCCTATATGAGGTATTTTGTGAATATTACATATAGGTAAATGGCTGGGAAGTGCTATGATTCTAGTCTAAATCTAATAATCTTGAATCTTTTGTTTAAATATTTCTTTTTAGAGTTACACGGCTTCCTAGAGACCAAGACAAGGTATGCAAAATGCACAGAAATGTACTAGCTGTATTTGTGAAGTATTGTTTCTTTGTTTTAATAGATTTGTTGTAAGTAAGCATGTACTGCTGCTCTGAGTAAATTTGCTGTTTTTTTAATGTTGGTGAGAAATTATATCACTATTTCTGCAATTTCATGAATGTAATAATTTACTGAGAGGAAAAAGAGATCAGTACACAATCAACCACTGAATCAGATTTTACTATAAGCTTATGTGTACGTGCTTTGTTAATCATTTAGGATGAGAAAAAACTATGCATACTTCATAGAAACGGACGTGCCAAGATGAAGGTCAAAGAAAAGTTAAAAAAATCTAAACTTCAGGTACTACTTTAACTATTTTTTAAACTGTTGCATTACTTAAAAAAACTAGATATACACGGCATATATGGTTTTCTTGTGATTTTATTAATATTGCTTTACTTTTTTCTTTTTTAGAAAATATTCAGTACTGACAATCAGTTTAAAGTTTTAACTGTAAGTTCCAATGCATTCTTTGAACCCAATTTAAATCTGGAATCTAGTGAAACAGGTAAACTATCTTCTAAACATTGCTTGCATTTTACCACTTTATTCTATTTTTATTCATCTTTATTAAATATTCATTTAACTTCAAGTATTGAAGTTAAAATACTTTATTAAGTGATATAAAGCACTGACCAAATTAGTCCAAATCACATCATTGTCTTTTTTTATCTAGAAATCCCTAAGCTGCAGGATGAACTGAGGAGTCTTAACAAGAGCATTCATAAAGAACTGGTCAAAGATTATGTCAGTGAAGCAAAGGGAACTCTGCTCTTAATCCAAAGGGATCAGCTAGAAACAAACAAGAAAATGGTACGATTCAGAATTAGATTGACTAGAATTAGAGTCTATTTAGAATCCTGCCAATATGCATTGTTCTGTAATTCACTGCTCTTGTATGGATGTGTTTTAGATGGAAATGAAAGTCATGGAATTTGAGAATAACCTAAAGACGTCACTAAAGGAACTGAGAAGCTATTTTGACGGCATTATTAGTGATTTGGACCAGTGTCTCACAAGGGGAGTGGGAGAATCAGTGATATCATGTGTTGCTTCCACACGCCAATTGATAGAGCCGGTAAACATTCACATGTTTTGCATAATCACTATTTTCTTGTCCTTTTTACACTTTTTCTTTTCTTTTTTTTATACTCAGAATAGAGATGGAAGTGGGTTCCACAGAATCCTTGGATCTTTTTGCAAGAACTATGGATGCTATCGGTCGAAAAATTGGGAAAAAGTTTTTGACCTGAACAAGACATTGGCAGGACATTTGCATGAATGTATTGAGAAAGATTTCAATAAGATATTTCCGTAAGTTTGGTTTCATTATTTCATTTCCAGTCTTAGAATAAAATCTAAAGAAAACTTTTTACAATGTTTTTTTGTTGATTTTTAGGGTATTAACATGATGAATTTAGTTAGATCTTTTTTAGTACGTTTATTTGGCATTGCTGTTAATTATATTGTTGGCAGTTTGTTTACAAATTCTTTAAAGGGATAGTTCACCCCAAAATGAAAATTCTGTAATTACTCACCCTCATGTTGTTCCAACCCCGTAAGACTTTCTGTCATCTTTGTTCACCTTCATGTGATGTCATTTGAAATCATTTGAAGAGTTCAGATGCAAAAGCCTCTAAATGCCATTTGAAATTTTCTTCTTTAATGATGATTTTTATCAAACTTGTATATTTAAGTTCAGTAATTTCACTTAAAATAACAATTAATAGGTAATTATCATTGCCATTTAAGTGAAATCAATGAACTTAAATATACAAGCTTGATAAAAATTATCATTCTAGAAGAAAATTTCAAATGGCACTTAGAGGCTTTTGCATCTGAACTCTTCATTTGCACTCATATTTCGGTAATTTTTCTATCTGAAGATATAGATGGCTGCAACATTGAAAGCTCCGGTCTCTGTGTTTAGCGCGAAAGCTCACGCGATTGTCGCTGGCTCAGAATAAAATTTGTGCCGTGTAGCCTACTAGCTGCCTTGATGAGATTATCAAGTTAACTGACTCGTAACGTTTGCAATATCTCACGAGCTCCCAAGTGTACAAACCCGCAACGTGTACCCCCGCTTTAATTAATTATTTTATATATATATATATATATATATATATAATTTTTTTTTTTGGCTATAGTGTGACTGGAAAAACAGGGATATCAGCGCAGGAACAGATTGAGAAGTTCAGTGTCATCCAAAATGAATCTGCTAACCCCACACCTCTCATAAATAACATTCAGAACTTCATTCAAATTGAGGTGAGTAGAGTTGTTCCCTTGTTCCCTTTCGAATTGGTTGCACTAACCAGATGAGATACGCAACTTTCACAGTATAACGTTACACGCGTTGCAGTGATAATTCCATCGCTCAAGGTAATTTCTAAAATTTGTTCAAATACAATGGGTGTATGATCATGTAATTAATCGTGTCTTTAAGTTAACCTGTAGTTTCGTCAATCATCTAGTCAGCTGGGTGTGTGAGGCTAACTTAGGCTAACTGTACGTTCACACCGCCGTTTACCTATTTGTTGCCCGCCAGGCATCCATGGAAGTCATGTGACTGCAAAGTATGAATACGCAGTGGGGAAACTCCTTTTCCTCGATTTACTGAAGCCTTTTGTAAAACGCATTTGCAGCTGCACAGTCAGCACTGACCATCTGACACACTCATAGGCTGTGCAACTGCACATCCAATGGAGTGGGCGACTCTGACGTGCGACCAATGAGCTATCCTTACGTCAGAGCCCGCCGAGGGGGCGTGACCCAGTCTATAGACCCCCGGATTCGCCATTATAGCAGATTTAAACTCCTTCAGCGACATTACACATGTCCCTGAGCTTTTTGGTGTAATTCGCCATCGAATCTGAGCTAGCCTTATTCAGCAGACTTTCCTGACGCCATCTCACCTGTGGCTATCCGGCGACTGCCTATATCCTTTGCAAGCTTATTTGGCTACTCCTAAACAGACTTTCATTTGGGGGTACCCTTCTTAAAGTCAACCCTATGGGGCTGGGCAATATGTCATCTCTACATAACTCCTTCAGGGTAGAATGTGGTTCAACAGCATTCCTTTCCCAGTGGGAAGGACACGTTTTCCCAGTGTTATCCAATAGTCACTGGGCAGGTAATGTGGAACAGCAGGGATTGGCTTTTCTGCGTAAGCCTGATCCTGTCTTACAAGAAGGGTTGGAGGCTTTCGCAGGACGCTGACAGGGACAGCAACAGTGGCACTTTGGTATGGATTCCTATTCGTCGCTACGACGTAAAGTAGAGACCAACTGAAAGGGAACGTCTCTGTTTCATATTTAGCCTAACCCTTGTTACGTCCCGTTGCCATGGTTCCTGTACCACCGGTCTGCTCCCCAGCTAAAACCTAAACTTGCAATTGCACATGCTGCTCATTATAGACACACACTGAGTGTCAGAGCAGTTGCTGCAAATCATTGCATGCCAATGTTCATTGCCTTGTATAGTTACACACAGTAGATTGGCTTTCTAAGCGAGATTCCTATTCGTCAGTCCGACGTAATGCCTCCGTTCCCTCCTTTAGGGAACGAGGGTTACATATGTAACTGAGATTTTCTCTTCTGACACTAATAATACTTCGAACCTAATCCTCCATGCCTTTCTTCACTTCTGTTGAAGTCTGTGTGAATCCTCATTCTTTATAATTAAGCAGGCTTTTTTATCCAGCAAATAAAAAAGAAAAGAAAATACAAAAAAAAAAATTCAATGCAGAATTTAATATTTCAAGACTTTTCTTGTGTTTTTCCTCATATGGAAGGAAACCCAACTGAAGAAATTGCTCATTGGAGAGATTGTTACCAAGAAGAAGTTGATCTACTCATCAATTCAAACAACCATTCAGAGGGAAATGGCTTCTTGCTATGAAGGTAATCTACCATTAAGATTTAAAATTCATTACAAACTACTTTGATATAAAGTGTACTTTTTATTTTGTACATGACAAAAACAATTTTCATTCCCTTACAAAAAGAAGTTTATTCAAGTGTGCAATTAGTTTTTAACAAGTAAGATCTTATTCATAAAAGGCAATTTCGAAATAGGTCTGAAATTTTTCAAATCCTGTGAATCCAAATTCATAAATAAAAAAGATGATACAAAAACAAAATCCTTTATGGTACAGCTCCATAAAATAAACTACTTTTGATAATCGATAAGATACTATGGAACCAATAGGGTCTAAAACCTCTTTAATCAATAGCAACGGGAGAAATTCCTAGAGTGAGATAGTCGGTTTTAAATGCAGTAGCCTAGATATTTCCTAAGAATATCTTACATTTATCTATAAAATGGTAAAAAGGGAAATTATACAGATATCTTTATGATATAGAATATATGTAAATAGTTTACGTTTTGTAGCTGTAAAAACGTAATAATGCTACGTTTAAATGTTGCAGATACGTCTATATTACACGTTTCAGCATCTATCCAAACGTACTAAAAAGTACGTTTTCTATCTTTGCAAAAACGTAAAATACCTACGTATTAACAATGAGACCAGGCTGGAATATCATAAGATACTTGCAATGTATCTTTTAGCCATAGGCTACGCTCTGCATGCCAACAAACCCGCCTCAGATTCTGTGTTACATCATTTAGCCACGGTTGTTTTTAACTTTCTAGCATCTAATTTTAAAAGGCGCAACATTATCCAAGATCTCAGAGCAAACCTGATTAAAATAATTTACCAACACGCCCATGATTGTGTGTTGGTCCAGAGACACGTTGGGATAAGTAAAGGAATCAACTAAATTCAAAAATTCTTTGGTCATGGTTTTACCAGGATAACTGACATGACTATTAAAATCACCCATAATCAAAATCCTGTCAGCAGATGAAACAACCAAGATTAAAATTAATAAAACTCATCAAGAAAATTCTTATTATAACCAGGAGGCCTATAAATAAAGGCACAAAATCACTGGCGAGGGCAAGTCAATCTTCATTGATTGAGCTTCAAAACTCTTGGAACTTTCAACAGGCAGTAACTTGCACTTCACTATTAAAAATAACAGCCAAGCCTCCACCCCGACGATTTACTCCTCAAAGTAGCTACACCCCCTTGGTAAAAGCTCAGCAAAAGGTCTGGTATCAGTGTCATTTAAACAAGTTTCAGTGATAAAAGAAAGTCCAGCCCATATGTTACATAATAGTCATTCAGGATGAATGTTTTGTTGACAACCGAGTGTGCGTTTATCAAAGCCATAAACACTGTGGTCGACTCAACGGACCGAGAGAAAGAAACAGCACTTAGCTTCGTTGGCCCAGCTCGGAGTGATAATTTTAATACACCACGCCTCCACGTCTCGTCTCTCTCCGCATAGTCCAACATTTCAATTGAATTGTATACTAATATTAGTATACTAACATATTAAGAAAATCGGTTTCAAGGCTGAAGCCTACTTCCAGATGAAAATGCATGTTTGAGCTGTTTAAACCGTATTATTGTTTAAAACGTATTATTATAAGGCATGTGTTATAAAAGCCACTTAAATATCCTAATTGAACTAAGGCCCAATCCTGGCTTAATCTAAGCCTACCTGTGAAACCAGGGCATGTACTTACTATGTACTTATTATAGTAATTATAATTACTGGGTAATAACTAGGTACTAACCCTGAACCTAACCCTAAACCTACCCCTAACCCATGTACTTACCTTATATTAGCCAGTACTTTCTAGGTAAGCACACTGTAAATACACATAAGTACTGTACTGTAAAAGGAAACGTTACCGGCATTATATTATTTTCTTAAGTATACTTAATAAAATTTACTTTTTTTTGCAAGGGAAAAGTTGTTCACTTTTCATTTATACATTTCATTTATGAAACGCACTGTCAATAATTGATTTATTTTCATGGTTCTGATGTATTCTTATTTTAGAAGCAGCAGCAATGACTGGAGCTGGATCCATGAAGAAAAGGCAACAACTGTTAATAAACAGGGTTGTTGAGATAAAACAAGACATGTTTAACAAATCCAAAATAGAAGTGCTGAACAATTGTAATAAATTAAAGGTATTGATCTCATATTCATAAAAGACAATCATTTATTTAGTTGTACAATATAATAGTTGTTTATTTGTACAATCAATCTTCTCTTGTTTCTTTGTAAAGCTTTACGTAGTGGATGTTCTTGAAAAAAAAATGAATCAAGCAATAGAACGCTCACAATCACAAACCGGCAAAATGCCCAGAGAGGGTAAGAGAGAACGTCATCCCTAACATAAAACAAATCTTTTGTACAAGTGACTGATTAATCTTAATTCTTGTCATTTCTAGATGTCTCCGGGGATATTGAACAGCTGGACAGACTGTTGGATCAACTGTCTGACTCTTGGGAATCAAGCAATAAGAAGCCAAGAGTGTAAAATAAAGTGTAACTTTTTAAGTAAGTGTTTTCTTTAGTTTTATGACACATATTTGATTTCTTTACTCAAAATAATTTGTCCATGTAGTTTTATTATTTTCTATATGTTTGTTTGGTTAAAGATGTATTTTATCTTAAGTTGTTAACTTAAAACATTTATTGGAATTGGAATTTTAAGGTTACATGATGTAATCTCCCTCTCACTTCTCTATTCTGTTTTTCTGTGTTATTTTAAGATTATGACAGGATGAGGATCCTGAAAAAAAGGAAATATCTGTTGGTTTTAGAAAAGTGTGGAAAAATGTATTCACTTTGCCTTATCTTGTATATTAAGAAACTATGGCCATGGTAAACACATTTACATTTATGCTTATATTTTTACATTACATTTATGCTTTTTACATTTACATTAAGCAGAGAGGAGGCTTTGATGATAATCTGTCTATTTGTTTATCCAATCAACTTTGTAATTCTTTGTTCCATGATGCATGAATATTAAAGGGACAGTATAAAATGAAATATCTGACAATAAACTTTGAAAAAGTTTGACCATAGAACTTTGTGTCTGCAATCATTTCTTCCAGCAGCTGTGCATTCCTAACTGAAAGGATTAAAGGCACCAAGATAAATAATACAGAAAATGAAGATGTCCTATTTTCATGAAACTTTATAGAAATACATTTAATGTCCATATAGATTGTAATGTAATTTCAAGGGCCTGTTATATTTGTGCAGAAGTTTCTGAAAAATATAGTGCTGCCAAAGCAAAATTGTGTGGCATAATCCGTGGCATCTTTTAAAAAAAAAAAAACTTAAAGTCCCCGTGAAATCAAAATTGAACCTATTTACTTTGTTAGCGCATATTACTAGTCTTGTGGTGAACAATTAATCCGTGCAAGTAAAAATATATTTAAAAAATGTTTTACCTTGGTAATCTTTAATCAAAATCTGAAAAGTTACTTCTGGTCTGGAACGGTTTCTTTTTCTGATGACGTAGGTTTCACAGTTTGGGTGGGGAAACGCTTAACCACTCCCCTCAAACCGTTAGTTTGCTATGAGCGAGAGATGGAGAGGAGGAGCGCTAGAGTAAAACCCTGCCCTCTGTTCAATATTCCGTTTCACTTGGAAATACGTCACAGCACTGGAGAAAAATCGTTTGCAACTTCCGGTTCACGGGGAATTTAATTTAAATATATAACAAATAATAAAAATAAATCTAAAGAGAATTCTGAGTGAAGAAGCGGATTCACGCTCCTCAATAAACAGTCCGGAGGGTGGATGAGCGGTGGCCTCAGGCAAAGTTTTCTGGAACACAAAAGAAGATATTTTGAAAAATGTTTTTGTCAAAAAGGGTCAATGAAGCTCAGCTACTAAAATAGAGGCTACGTATCTGTAAAGCGGGTTTGAAACTGTAAGTACTAGTGAAAAGTTCTTTTTAAAAAAACAAACATGACTTGACTTGACAATCATTTTAAATACTACATTCTTTGTAGAACCGTTTGCCCCATAGGCCAAATGGAGATGATCCAAACTGAACTGGAGTTTCCCTAAAAGCATTGTTAGACAATAGTCGCAAGTTCCGTCATTATCAGCAGTTTAAAGAGTTTGTGTTTCCCAAAACCATCAAAGTTTTGGCAAGCTGACATTCAGGCCCCGTCCACACTACTGCGTTTTCGTTTAAAAACGGAGAATTAAAACGAATACGATCTCCGTCCACACTAGCGTTTTACCTGCGTATTAGAAACGATCTCCGTCCACATTAAATCGACTGAAAACGCAGATTACGTGACCATTCACCAACACTGGGCATGCGCGTGCCGGTGTAAACAGTGAATGACGAATCAGGGAAGGATGCGTCATGACTGATAACACCCAATCATAGAGCCGAGCGTCAGCCTCTGCGTCAGCGTTTCTAAAGTTCTCCGTTTTGTATGGTTTTGTCTCGTCCACACTAAAACGCCCTCCGGAGATTCAAAACGCAAAACGCAGCTGCAGCGTTTCTAAACTTCTCCGTTTTAGGTCTTCGTTTTTCCCGTTTTAGTGTGGACGGGAGGTGCAAACGTAGCAAAAGGTCTCCGTTTTTAAACGAAAACGCAGTAGTGTGGACGGGGCCTCAGTAACATCTATATCTTTTATCAGCGTTTACTAAACCAGCGACTGGCCAGTCACTGGGGAAGAACAATCTGGTCATTCACTTTTTTTAAGGGACCTAAAAGAGGCTGAATCCTCCCAGACACCCTTCAGTTCCCATGTGGGACCTTTCTATGGTTTTGGAAGACATGAAAGGTTCCCCGTTCGAGCCAATCCATTTATTAGACATGAAACATTTGTCGTTCAAGACAGTGTTTCTTATGGCTTTTGCTTCAAGCGCATAGGGGAGTTACAAGCGTTCCCAGTAGCATGTAATTTGCTGTGTATGGAAGATATTACGCAGTAACGTTACTCGCTCCCTCTTTTAGAGAGAACCGAGGTTACGTAAGTAACCGAGTACGTTTTTCCTTTTTGACGCTTCGTCCCAATTCGCATACTATCCATCCTAAAGAGTATTCGAAAATAGAATTAGTGCGTCCCAAACCGTAGTATGTTGAAATGAGTGTTTCAAAGATACCCGGATGGTCTACTTTTTCCGGTCAGAATCCGAAGTGTAGATGCACACTCTAACGGCTGATATTGCCCACAATCCTTTGCGCGTTGAACGAGGATTCGGTTAGAACTACAAACACGAGTAAAAAGTGTTAAAAAACTACAGACTCGGAGGACGCGCGAGTCCCGCGTTTATGTTGAGAGATTTAGATAAAGAGGTTTGAGTGACTAATTAACACTATCTGACGGTTCTGACCTGACGAAAATTAATTCATTCAATGTTCTCCACATTATATTGCAGATCTGCAGCAGCATTGTAAACTTTTGTAAGGATACGTTTAGCCATTATTTTTTAAATGCATTATTATATTCAAATTGCAAAACGAAAGTATACACATGACTGGTAGATTAACGTGCTCCGATACGGTAGGAAATTAAATTAGATTGAATGGAGGATTTTAACTGTGACGAGATTTTATTTTATTTTTTTTAATGGTGACAGGATGCACACAGCACGCGACAGAGCCGTCCGTTAAAGATGACGTGATAGTATGTCCCAAAGCTTGCCTACTTTTTTTGCTACATACTCAAAAGTATGTACTTTTTCTTCACAAAAGGATTACATACTTTTAGGGCGTAGTATAAGTAAGCGAATTGGGACGCAGGGGCTATCTCGCCTCCAAACGTGATAAGCCAATCACAGTAGGCCTATGCATAGCTAACCCAATACACTCAGATCACAACACTAACTAAACGTGGATAAAGTAAACAAAGATGTCTACATTGTTCTAAGGTAAGTCAACAATGTATTTGAACATTATTTTTAACATCTCTAACGTAACGTTAGCCTAACATTAAAACATTTTAACATTAGCTTCTAGCTGTGCAGAGCGTATTTTACGTCATGCCACTTAGCTTCACGTATCTGTAAATAATCGAGATAAAAAATGTTAGCAATGTTGTGCTGAATGATTCATGTAAATACTGTAGCAACTAACGGAGAGGTACTCCTGGTAAAGATGGTAAAAAGTGTTGTCCTGGAAACATATGCAACTTAGACATGTACATATTTAATTTGATCATGAACCATTAATTACATATTGGAGCGCAACATTTTAGACACCTTTCTACCAAAACAACCTTGTGTTGTTGTTTTTTAGCAAAACATGTTGCCAGTTTTCACTCCTCAACATAACCAAATGTTCAAACTATTTACATACCATGTCAATAGATAAGAGGTCAGGATGTTCAAAAGGGCATTGATTTGTGCTGATTTAGTGTAATAACTTCTAATAAAATGCTATATTTTTGTTTAAGCATTTTGTCAATAGAGGGCCCCCCATCCTCACCAAACAAGGACTGAATCTACTATAGGACAGAGGTGTCGTCCATCTCCAAAAAAGAGGTACCTCAAACATGTGTACATGAACACACACAGGTTCAAGTCACACTTGATCATTGATGATATAATATCAAGCTGAAGGCAAAAATCAGAAAAAGAATCTGCACACTGTTAAAGAAAATCCCAGCAGCTTTAATAGCAGAAAACCACCAGTACCACTGGAATTAAAGACTTTATTACAAGCTTACTGTTTTGAATCAAGCTAAGGCAAGCAGATAGTTTTGAACAATGGCTGGTTATGTATTTTATTTTTTTTAAATTTCTTTTGGATCATTTTTAACCCAAAAAAGCTACTGACTGCAGCTTTAACTTTAAGCATCATAATAATTATGATTTCTTATATATTTGCAGTATATATCATTTAAAGCTTTTCACATTTTCAGAACCAAGCATCATAATTATTTGAACATTTTATCTCAGGGTAATGTGTGGGACAGTAGACTGTCAATGATTCAGCTGTCAAGTTGAGCAGAGTAGATTTCTGACCTTGTATTTTCTTGGGTGTTGTCAGGATTACGTTCTATAACCTCCTCCGGAGCCCCCGCCTTCCCCGTCTCCATTTTCATGCACTCTTTATACAACAGGTGTGGACTTATTGGTGCGTAAGGCAAATGGAAAGAGAAATTTTCCTTTGTAAATTTAATTGAATTTATATTGCACAGAATAATTGTAAATTCAGTGGCATACATACTCTGGATATGTACAGTATCCTATATATTTATTTGCTCATGTTTCATTTATCCATCATTTTTAATAATAAAGCTTTTAAAGCTTTTACTTATTTTCCTAAGAAGTCTAAATAACTACGACATCATTTTCTTCAGCTTCACTATTAATGATTAAATGCTGAACATAGTCTTCTGAAAGGAATTGGAACAGGTTTAGGGGGAAATTAAGGTGAAAGCACATGAAGTGAACGCAAATAGTGCTCTTTTACATGTCTGTTTGACCTGTATGTGGATCAGGGATAATCCAACTTTTTAAAAGAATGAATTTTCCTCCTTTGCATGTTTCCTTTTACATCTCTGTATCTGATTCACTTTTGGGTGTTGTCAGGATTATGTTTTGTTTCTGTGTCCCTTTAATAGTATACCAGCAGGCCTCTCTCTCTCTCACACACACACACACACACATACACTTTTCATAAGGTGAAAGGATTGGCAATTTACATTTTCTTAAAGAAAAATATGGTGTAATAGTGCAGAAAATTCAAAAAGCTGTTTTATTAGAAAAGTTGTAAACCTCATGTAAAGAGATATTGATGAAAAATGTACTTCTCAATTGAGCATAACTCGTTATATTTACAGATCTACAGCTTTCACAAGTTATTTAATGTTATTTGTTTATTTATTCTGACCCTGTAAAAGGAAAACAAACTGAAGTATCACTAAGTAGAAAGGTGGGAAGGAAATGCATTCATCAATCTTAACAATGATCAATGATTCAGGAAAACATGTCTGCGGGCTATAAAAGTATCTGCATATTTTTTTCAGTCAGAAGTCCAATAGATGTTGTATGAAGACCATTATTATTATGATCATTATTACTGTATTATTGTAATCAACACAAACTGAATGATTGTTTCAAAAAGAAAAAAAAAAGTTGAAATTAAAATGTAAAATTATTTTCATGAGCTGAAATAATGGAAAAACATGTGACCATGCATATTAATCATATCACAACCTGCATCGCAAAGAGATTTTTTCATTGTAGCATTTGCATGTCTCCGTGTTAAAGATGAATACTAATACTTTTTTTCAGAACCCACAAAAGGAGAAATCCTTGAAAAAAACTCATACTGCCATAGCCATAACATAAAGTTCATACTGCCATAGCCATAACGTAACCATGGCGACAGACATGCACAACTGCGTAGTTCGTAACGTTTAGCGGCACGCAGTTCTTGTTTCTTTCAAACATAGACCATGGCAAGCAGACTTTGGGACAAACAAGGAGAACTAAAATGAGGATCAGTATCAGCGTGTCCTTTGCGAGATGCCGAGGGCTCCACGTCCGCGACTAACAGGTTTATTAGACAGGTGTACATAATACAAATCATTGTAATATAACGTTAGCTCAATATGATGAATTGTTAGAATATGGTCAGTATGTTATTCTAATGTGGATCAAGCTTACTGCTATTTCCAACATGACATCATGACTTTTGCGTAAACATACACGGCACTTTCGAGTCAAGTGGCGTGTTATCTCTACGCATTTTGAGCTATCCACATGTATCCGCGTGTATGCGTGTATGTCTACGCCATTATGTCCGAGTCATTCCGCGTGTCTGTACACGCCGTCAAATGTCCAGTCATAAATGCCTGAACATAAAATGGACATAAATGCAAGGAACTGACAACTGCCACTATGTCAGTTGTACAACGCAATTTCCAGAATAGTTAAGGAATCAATAATCTGTGATTTAACCTTTTTTCAACTAAAAAAAAAAAAACACAAAAATGTTTCCCAATGTTTTCACTGACCAATAAAATTGTATTTTGTAAATATATATTTTATAATATTTTGATGGCTGCACAAAGTTGTGACAGAGGCATGTGTCAAATCACATTTCCTTTAAATGGGAATTGGGAATTGGCAGCTAATGTCAAAAAAGCAATATCAAATTGATGGGTAAGAGAGAATATCCTATTTTACAACAGAAACAAGAGTTTAAATAATCCTTTGCAATGTGAAGTGTCGCAACGACCACTCCCTAATATATAACTTTAGATGTCTCAAGAGAGATCGAACAGCTGGAGAGACTTGCAGAGCAACTGTCAAACTGCGAGGTCATTAAGCAACAAAAGGCCCAAAAGATGAAGAATTAACAGATCAACAAACTCTATGTAACACATTTCAGTAAATGTTTTTCATTAGTTTTACATTAGATCTTATTGCCTTACTTACATTTATGTGTTGGTATTCATTTTTGAAATGGTTTACTACTTTTATCAAAATTGCACGATACACAAACTGTGTATTGATTTTTTTTTAGCGTTAAAGTTTACAGCAAGAAATGGAAATGCCAATTAGAATTTTGGTGAAGCTGTCCCATTTTCTAGAACCTTTATGGGTGATTTGTTTAGATGTGAATGATACAAAGTACTTTTAGAAAACAGATCTGTTTTTTATAGGCCTATTGTTGTGTAAAGAATTAAGTTTTATTTTTTATCTCATTTACATTTTTTTGTATTTGTATAATTGCAAATGAGTTGTTATATAAACAAGGTATGCAAAGAGTGCTGTAGATTTGATTCAAGTATCAATAAATAATAAGAACATAATTATGTAATGTTTATTTATAATGAATGCTTACAAATATAAATGTGAAATGTCTATTCATTCCAAAAAATGTTTGATCATCTTAACTTTGCCTACAGGGCAAAATTTGCTTTCACTTACTTTAAATTTTACCTTAATTTCCCCCCAAACCTGTTCCTATTCTTTTTAGATAGGAAATTGATATGGAAAGTGTAGGAATAGTGTGTATGCCACTGATTCTTACAATTATTCTGTGCAATATAAATTCAAATAAATTTTACAAAGGAGACATTTTGTCTTTCCATTTGCTTAACGCACCAATAAGTCCACACCTGTAACGTGTGGCTGTTGTATAAAGAGCGCACGACAAAGGAGACGAGGAAGGCGGGGGCTCCTGAAGAGGGTAAACACACTGAACAAAACATAATCCTGACAACACCCAAGAAAATACAAGGTCAGAAGTCTACTCTGCTCAACTTGACAGCTGAATCAAGGACAGCCTACTCTCCCACACATTACCCTGAGATAAAAGGTCAATTTTCTTTCAAATTATTATGATGCTTAAGTGAGCTAAAATTCTAGTTTGCGTCCAAAATGTATTTATCCTTTTTTTTTTTTTTACTAAAACCAATCTAAATAAATAGTATTGTTGTTTTAATTGTTGTTTAATTTATCTTACAAACATTTGACTAAGCAAGAAAGGCACCAATGAAGAGAGAAAAAGCCATTATTAAAACTGAAGTGTTGTTATATTTATTATGTCATGAGAATTCCTAAGTTCATAAAGTGTGGGTCTTCCACACATACAATTACAGACATATTTTTTTGTTGTTGTTGACAAAATGGTTATGTCCAGGCATGGGGGTTGGGATTAGTATAAATAAATCAGTTAAATGGTAGAAAAAACCTATTCCAATATATTTATGAAAAATTTGTAAATATCATCTGTTTCTAGCTGTAAATAGCATACGTAATATTTACATTTTACGTATCGTCAATGTGGCCATATTGTAGGCTACATTCAGCATCTATCCAAAAATCAGCCCACTCTCAAGGAAGTGCGTATCTATACCACGAATATATTTATCGTGCCATTTATACGCCAAAAATAGATTTTGCATGTATATGATATGCCGTTTTCGCGTGCATGTAAATGGTAAATGTCGTGCAATAGCCTATACGCGTTGCGCTCTGTCTCAACTTCCAGTATCCAATTTTGTTGACGGCTTATAAAAACTTAATTCTGGGTTTTAGCTTGTTTGCATGGTTTTCAGATTATGATGCATGTTGTCTCTATTGTGAGTGTAACAGATACATTACCTGTTTTATTAGACAGGTAACCTGTCTAACAAGTACAACAATAGGAAAACATTTTTTTTTTTTTTTGCCACACCAGAATGTTTAAAACTTTTCTATTGTTGTACTCAGTAATTCTCTCAGAATGCAAAGCAAACTAGTTCCTACCCTCCATCACCCTTTGTTTTGTCCCTGTACAGGGACCTTCTCTGAGAGCAGATCTGTCGATGGCTTCACAGACAATACATTTTGTCACCTGGAATGTTAATGGACTTAAACGAAATAGAGATGAGAAATTTCAAAAACTACAAAATGCGGACGTTGTTTTCTTCCAAGAGACACATATTGGAGAACGAGATAAACATATTATAGAAGGTCTAAAAAATGAGTGAAATGTTTTCTACACAAAGTTTACCTCCCGAAAGGGAACAGCCATACTTGTCAAGAAAAGACTAGATTTTGAATGTATAAGTGATGAAAAAGATAACAGTGGAGCTTATGTTGTGTTGAAATGTAAACTGGAAGGTCAGCTGTACACTCTGGTTAGTGTTTATAACCATGACACAGACACAAAAACCCTTGATAAACTGTCACATTACCTGCAGTCAATGACCACAGGGCTGCTGGTGATTGGTGGAGATTTCAACACGGTTCTCAATCCATTTGTCGACAAAGACAATTCAAAAGGGGCGACAGACAGGTCAAACCACAGAAAGCTGCGCTGTTGTGTGAATAAGTTCATGAAATCTCTTCAGCTATTTGATGTCTGGAGAAGAAAGAACCCTGTAAAGCAGGAGTACACATTCCACTGTCAAGTTGCGTCCAGGCTGGATTACTTTTTTGTTCCAGAAGAATGTATGTGGCGGGTCAGAAGATGTGAAATCAGAGACTCAGAGATGGGTGACCATTGTCCTGTGTACTTGGAGATCAACAATGTTTCCACAACCATTTTTCAGAAAGATCCACAGATACAATCAATTTCCCAATGGCTGGATCTAAAAAGGGATCTTTTGACAGATGAGACTGGTTCATCACTGGGCAAAGAAAGCTCACATGCAGTCAGTGAGGTTGACATTATATCAGCTGTACATTCTCTACAAGTGTCCGACACACCGAGACCAGACGGCATCCCAGTTTCCTTCTATAAAGACAACATTCAGGATCTAATTCCATACATTAAGATGCTCTATGACAGAATCCACAGCGGTGCGTTTAACTGCTCTGAGACACGCTTTAATGAAACTGTGAAGAGTCCACATGATGATAGTCAACACTTTTTTAACTTTGACTACCTCATCATTGCAACTATTCTGGCAAGACGTCTAGATGATTTCTTGGAGACTCAGTCAAAGGGTCTTGTGTCAAACAAAACAACTTCTGTCATGATCGCTCCCAAAACCTTCTGCGCTGGGATGAGGTTGTCTTATATTAAGGATGAAATAGAAGAGCAAAAACGGTCAAACCCGACTCTGTATCAAGATTTCCTCATTGTGAAAAACCTTCTGAGAGATGCACCAGAAGAGACACTGAATCTGTAGACGCTTCAATTGAGAGAGACAAACTGCTGGATCAGGGCTGCCCTTTGACCCCAGTTCTCATTACACTGGCTCTGAAATGCTTTGCTTCCGCATTAGCTGGGCGTTTAAAACAGAAACATATTCTCGTTTTTAAACAAAGTGTTATTCTTTGCATCCAACCTGAGGACCTTGAGATAGTAATAGCTGCAGTGAAGAACACAGATAATGAAATATATTACATTAAGGAATTATCCAAAGGAAATGATAAACAATCAAAGTGCTTGGGAAATGAGCCTAATGATGAGGACTGGAATAAAAGGAAGGAGGAAACGCTTGCACACAACACAGAAGAGGATTCAGAAGCCAGTTTGTCTAAAAAATACATTTTGGAGGGTGATGGAAGGTGAGGATCATGAATATGACCATGATACCATTTAAATTAAAGGGGTCATGAACTGGCTTTTAAAATGTTATTATATTGTTGTCTGAGGTCAACTTTAAGACGTTCGCTTGGTTTTTGCATTCAAAAACATCAAAATGAATAAGTAATAGGCTATTTTGTACCCAAGTTGTGAGCCTTCCTGAAAAACGGTCGGTTTTTATGGGCGTGTCGCACTGAAGACTTGGAAATAAACGCCCACTGCTGTGAGTGGAGAACAGTTTTGCATATTATAATGAGTTTCACTCACCCGTCGGTGTACGTGGGGGAAAACGTCCAATGTTGTCAAATGGCAACCGGATTCGCCCATACATGTTCGACCCAGAGTCCGTGTGTTGCACAATTCCTGTCAGATCCAATATAGACGGCACAGCACCGTTCTTTTATCGGTCTGCAAATCCAGTCTTGTTTACAAAACAATCCTCAGTGAAATGAAGCGAACAGACGACGATGTTTTACCCAAATCAGCTGGAACGTCATTAAAAATAAAGTTTATCCATGAAGTCCTATTGGAATCCAGAGGAAGCTTATGTAGCGACTGTCTTCTTCCACAAACAGGCACTGCAAAATATTCTGTATTGCTCGGTAGAACGATCCGGTTTGTCATCACGAGGTAGCATGTATGTTAGGCTACTTAGCTATGCGTGTAATGCGCGAATCGGTGGGCGGGGCTAAACCGGCCGTGTTGAAGTAGGCGTTGATCTTCTTCTTCTTCTTCTTCTTCTTTTTTGTTTTTTGGCGGTTGGCAAACCAACTTAACGGTGCATTTACCGCCACCGACTGGGCTGGAGTGTGAATCAGGAGATATTAGAACTTTAATAAAAAAAATAAAAATAAAAAAAAAAATTATATCCTTTTTGCCAAGTTTGTATCTCTCAGAAACTTAATAACAAAGTGATAATTGTTGCTGGATGTTTTCCCTAATAAACCTTGCATTGTGAAATTCTGATTGACCATTCTAAGAGATTGAAAAAGCTGGTTTCTTTCTTCACTGTACTTTGTGCACTGAAATAAAATATGCTCCACAGTTTCTAAATGAGTACAATGCTGGCATTTCCCTGTTGGATGTTTCCCTATTAGTTTCAATGACGAATTAAGCCCTGTGTGTCCTATTCTTAACCGTGTTATTATACTTTCCTCTCTTCTACTCCTACTCTCTATTCTTCCTATACCCACTTCTGGTTGTATATTATATAAATGTCTCCCTTTATCATGATCCACCCAATACTCCTGCCATTTTGATCTTGCATAAGCTTTAATTAATATTTTAGCTTCAGTTTTGCTATATGGAACTTGTAATATTCTATTATGTTTCAGTGTTTGTTTTGCAAGTTTATCAACCTCTTCATTCCCTTTCACTCCAACATGTGCAGGTACCCAGAGAAACCTGACTTTTAAATCCTTTGCATTTAACTTATGTAAAATCATCCAAATTTTATGAATTATATCATTTCTTATGGATTTCCCAGATTTAATGCTTTCTAAAGCTGAGTAACTATCAGATATAATCACTGAATTATTTAACTCATTTCCCTCTACCACTTCCAGGGCCAGCAAAATTGCAACCAGTTCTGTTGTGTATGCTGATAAATTATCTGTTATTCTTTCTTGACATTTAACCCCACTGTTTGGAATAAATACTGCTGATCCAGCATGTCCTGTCTTTGGATCCTTGGATCCATCTGTAAATATATATGTATATCCAAAATAATGCATTTCCAAATACCTCTTAACAATATCCTTCACTACTACTTCCTTTGCTTTATTTTTGATCTCCTTATGAACGCCTAAATCTACATCTGGTATAGAGAAAAACCATGGAGGAATAGGAGGGATTGAAACCGTTGAACAGTACTGTAACTTACATAACCCTATATTCTCAGCTTTCACATCACCAATCCACCCAAAACTTCTGTAATTGGACTTACTGTGTTCCCAGCATTCTTTTAAGATAGCTTTAGCTGGGTGGCTGTCAACTTGTCCCCTCACATTAACCCAGTATGCCAACATCAGTTGTATCCTTCTGATGCTCAAAGGCATCTCACCCATTTCGACTTGCATAGAAGACACTGGGGAAGTTTTAAAAGATCCACTACATATCCTTAAAGCCTGAGCTTGCATGACATCCAATGCTTTAACATTAGATTCTGCTGATGACATATATGCTATACACCCATAATCAAAGACAGATCTCATTAGTGCCCAATATATATTTAGTAACGATGCCCTGCTTGCTCCCCATGTTTGTCCTGATAGACATCGTAGGATATTAACAATCTTTTTACATTTATTAATCATTTTTTCCAAATGAATCTTCCATGTCAATTTTTCATCAAACCACATCCCAAGAAATCTTATAACCTTCACTTGCTCAAGAGGCTGATCATACAATTTTAATGATACAGGTGAGATCTTGTTCTTTTTTGAAAAACATATTACTTGTGTTTTAGACACTGATAATTTAAATCCCCATTTATTAGTCCATTTTTCAACTTCCTTAATTGCATCTTGCATTTTTGATTTAACATAGGATTCATTACGGCCTCTAAACCACAATGCTCCATCATCAGCATACAAGGATTTCCCAATTTTCTGATCAATATTTGAGAATATATCATTAATCATAATATTGAATAATAATGGGCTACACACGCTACCTTGTGGAGTTCCATTCTCGACTGTATATACCTCAGATAATTCTGCACCCACTCTTACTTGTATATTCCTATTAAACAAAAAATCCAAAATCCAGTTGTATACTTTACCACCAATTCCTAATTGTTGTAATTTAATTAATAACCCTTCTTTCCAAATCATATCATATGCCTTCTCAACATCAAAGAATACTGCTATTACCACCTCCCTATTAGTCTGTGCTTTCCTAATATCTGATTCCAAACTTATTAATGAATCCATTGTACTTCGGCCCTTACGAAACCCACTCTGATACTGGGAAAAAAGGTCATTACTTTCTAAATAATAAGTCATTCTATCTGTAATTATTCTTTCCATTATTTTACACAACTGCGATGTTAGTGCAATTGGTCTATAACTAGATGGGTCAGATGGGTTTTTCCCTGGCTTTAAAATAGGCACTATAATTGCTTGTTTCCACACCGATGGAAGCTGACCAATTTCCCAAATTTTATTAAAAAATTTAAGTACTATTTCTAATGTTTCATCTGTCATATTTGCAACCATTTTGTAACATACCATGTCTTTTCCTGGAGTAGTTTGTTTTGCATTAATGACTGCTTTTTTCAATTCAAACATATTTAATGGTACATCTAATGGATTTCCTGAGTATCCTTTCTTTTCTAAAACATCTGGGAAACTTTCTAACACTTTCCTTCTATTTACTTGTGCTTCCTTAGTGAGGTTCTGAGAACTATGCACTTTCTTGAATGTTTGAGCTAAAACTTCAGCCTTTTCTAGGTTAGTGACTGCCACTGTATCACCACTATTTAATACCGGTAATTCATAATTTCTTTTAACTCCTCCCATCCTCCTTATCATTCCCCATATATCAGATAACTTTACATCCCTACCTATATTATTACAAAAATTCCTCCAAAAATTGCGCTTTTGAATCTTAATTGTTTTCCTAACTACTGCCTGCTTTCTTTTATACTCTATAAAAGCATTCTGAGAATGATATTTTTTAACATATTTAAAAGCTTTGTTTCTTGCTTTAACTACTTTACTGCACTCATCATTCCACCATGGTACATTCTTACATTTCCTATTTCCTTTACTTTTAGGTATTGATTCCTCAGCTGACAATATTATTTCATTTACTAATAAATTGTTAAACTCATTTATCTCTATTTCTTTAATCTCATTAAGTTTAAAACATTTTCCTGCACAGATGATCTGAAAAAGTTCCCAATTTGCATTCTCTATTTTCCATCTTGGAATACTTTTAGTCCTTTCTTGATATGTCCCTGTTCCAACTTTAATTAAAATTGGGAAATGATCACTACCAATTGTAGTTTCCTTATCTACATTCCATGTACTAATACCTGCTATTGTATTGGACACAAAAGTTAAATCAAGTACTGATTCATTATTATTTATACAGTTAAACCGCGTTCCCTCTCCATTATTAAGACATACCAACCATTTGTCATCAATATATTCTTCTACAACTAAACCGTTAGCATCTGTACTGTTGCTTCCCCATAACGTATTGTGTGCATTAAAATCCCCACACCATATTACCTCACCAATTGGTGATCCCAAGATATTATCCAAAATACTACGCTCTATTTTCCCACAAGGATTATAATAATTGATTACATCTGTAGAACCTTTACTAGTCCATAACCTTATTGTAATTGATTCATTCTTATCATTTATTTTAATAACTTCATAGCTTAAACCATTTTGAATGAAAGTTGCTAATCCTCCCCCTCTACCATTTTCTCTATCTCTTCTAACTGCTGAATATCCCTTAATAATAAAATCTAACTCTGGTTTCAACCATGTTTCTTGCACACATATTATATTAGGTTTCTCTTTTAACTCATCAACATATTTCTTAAATTCCTGGCCGTTTGCTATCAAACTTCTAGCATTCCAT